CCCCCCCCCCCCAATACTCATGCTCACTCACTTCTTACTGGCGGGTTCCTTCCTTCCATGTCTATCTCCTTCTCTTTGTGTATCTCTTCTCTCCTTCTCCACCTCCATAACTATTGATCTGAACTGATCTGATGATTCAGCCTAGTGTGGTAATCTTCAGCATTTCTTTGATAGAGTGCTAACTTTGAAAGAACCATTTCAAATTGCTTTGAAGAGATATAAGAGATGCTAACTGGAGGGGAAAGAGAGGTTATAACAAAGAAAACATGATAGCCTTTAAGCTGCCACAAGACTCTTTGTTATATGATATAGCAGTCAGACCTCAAGAGAAATTCTGGCATAAATGTGTGAGCTTGAGTGTACTTTTGTAATTTTATGTGTGTAATTTTATGTGTGGCTACCCTTCCCTACCTGGCAGACATTTTGGCCCAATTTTTTAAAAAAATGTTTTAATTGCAACATTATTTATTTTACTCATAAATAAAATACTGTGAACAGGCATATTCAATAACAGGTTCACAAGCATGATCATCTGCAAGCCAAACTAGATCATATGATATTCAGTTAGTTGGATATAAGTAATTAATGTGTACCTGAAAGAAATTAAATGTGCGCCTGGTGTTTTGAAGCAAGCAGAAATGGGGCAGTGATAATGTCTTTTCCCCCAGTACAGAATGTCTCCAGGAAAATCCTCCCTCTAAATCTGCTCTTAGCTGTAGGAAGGAAGTCCCATTGGCAGCAATGAACTTTTTTAGTATATCATGTTTTGTGGATTTGAAACACACAAATTTAAAGGTTTTACTGCAAGTTTTAAAAGTTACAGAGGATGAAAAATCAAGGAGGGAATGGTTAAATAGCTTTTCTAGCCTAACATTCTGCTTGCACATGATGAAAAATCAAGGAGGGAATGGTTAAATAATTTTTCTACTGTAGCCTAACATTCTGCTTGCACATGCTTGTCACAGTGTCCTTAATGTTTGCTTTTTTAAATGAAAATCATATAAATACTGTACACAATGTAATGTGTAATATAGAGTTCAAGGTTGATAGCACACACATAAAATTCATTGGGAACCATATATCCCTTATTGATGCATCTGTTTCAAACCTTGCCATTTCCAAGTCCATACACACATCTACATACTTTTCTAATTGTCCCTCTCTCCTCCAACAGGCTGTTGAGACTGTGGTGAATTTGGATTTATTCTGCAACATTAAACATTTATTGAAGGCTAAAACTTGGATGAGAGCTACTTGGTTAGCCCTTGATATAGTCAAGGCTTGAATACAATCACTTCACTTTTCTGTTGATCAATAGGCTGGTAGCTGTGCAGACATCTTTACTTTAAAAAAACATTCACAAATTTAATGAACAAGATTTTTTTTTATTTGGAAAAAGCACTGATTGTAAAAAAATAGTTGTAGTAGGTAAAGCTTCTTGTATGGCAGTCTCATAAAAAGACAAATATGTCCAAGATGGAAACAATATTTTGGGGATGATAGCTCCATAAAAGGAACTTTTCTAAGCTCTAAGATTTCCTTTCACTCCCCCTGAAGTGCATGACACCCACAGTACCTACTTTTATTTATTTATTTAATTTATACCCCACCTTTCTCTCCACAAAGACCCACCTTTCTCTCCACAAGGACCCAGATATAATGCATAGGTTTATGCATTATAAACCAAACAATGTGATCCATTGCACAAAATGAACAGGGAACAGCAGAACCATGAATATGTGATTCTGTAAAAGTTTCTATGGGTTTTCTGTAGGAAGGATGATTTCACTATAGACTTGGTTGGTGCCACATTTTTTCATTTCAGAGTGCTTATATCAGTGACAACTTGTGACCAGGACAGGAGATACACCACAATATTTTGGAGTGAGGTTCCCCCGTCAATCCTGATCTTCACACCACCCATAGTTGGTGTCAGGTTTTAGAAGCAAACATAATGTTTTTACCTACACATGCATTTTATTGTCATCTGATAAATAACAGGTACTGGTCAATTTTAGTGGCTCTAAAAGTTGATAGACCAAGAGAGTTTTAATATCCTGAGTGAAAGCTCCAAAATTCCAAATATGAGAGAGAGAGAGAGAGAGAGAGAGAGAGAGATCTGTTCCCCTCTCTCTGGTCCCTTTTAAAGTTACACCACTGTAGCTGCTATTTCTCTTTTGCCTTCCACTTTGAAAAGTAGCGTGTCATAAAATACTAAAGAAACCAGTCTAAGATTTCAAAGTTTCACTCCGAAAGTAGTTGAGTTCTGGATGAATCATGCTGAAAAACCTTCCCCAGTAAAATCATCTTCAAGGCCTTTCGAAACCATAGGTAAAAATATGCATAAAGAATGGGGTTTAATGTAGAGTTCAAGTAACCAAACCAAACCAGTGCATCAATGAGAATGGGCGGGGTTGTGTAATTCATGAAGGGATCTGTGGCAGTGCAGAAGAAGAATGGGAACCAACAGATGAGAAAAACTCCGACCACTGTACCTAAAGTCTTGGCAGCCTTTCTTTCTCTGCTACGTGAAATCTGATGCTCCATTTCAAATCTTACTTGCACTTGGTTCGCAACAGCTTTAATGGCTATGGCCTGCCTTCTGGCTACAATGTATATCTTCCCATAGACACATAACATGATAAATCCGGGGATGTAAAAAGAAACCACAGAGGCCACAACCCCAGAAGTTTCGTTGAAGAATACAAAGCAGCCTCCCGCACAATAGATGAGTTTGTAGAATGTCTCTTTTGCTCCGATCATGTTCAACTGTAAGAAGATCAGTCCAAAGCCAAACATGGCAGAGAATATCCAACTCACAACAATCATGATTAACACAACACAAGTGTTTATCTTTGCTTTATATCGCAGAGGGTCACACACAGAATAGTAGCGGTCAATAGAGATAAATGACAAGTGGAAGATGGATGCTGTGCTCAGCATGATATCGACACTAGTGTGGAATTTGCAGAAGAATTCTCCAAAATACCAGCAGTTCTCCACTGACCTGATCATGCTATACGGCATGACAAAGAATCCTAGGAGGAAATCCACAGTGGCCATAGAGAGGATGAGGAAATTGGTGGGTGTGTGGAGTTGCTTGAAGTGCGCTATTGAGATGATGACAGTCAAGTTGCCAGCTACAGTGGCCAGGATCACACATAACATGAAGGTGTACATGGTAATATGCATGCTAATTGACCAGCTGTTTTTAATGCAAGAACTGTTGATGGATTCATAGCATAACTGCATCTTTCCTGAAGGTTCAGATTCATGCAAACACATGTCAGGCCCAATCAGAGTGTACTGTGTATGCAGTTCTTCTTTTCCAGTAAAACCAAGTATGGCTTAGTCTTTCACCATCCAGCAAAGTGGGAGTATCTTCTGAGAGGAAAAAGTAGAACATTAGCATTCATTTATGACTAAGAAAGAACTCTGCCCCACCCCCTCTCATAGCATAGTTGGTAAGCTATGAACAGAAATTCATTCAGAGTGTTTTTTTTTCCCAAGAGCCACTACAAACTAGGATAAATTGCACAAGTTAAAGCAAGCCAAATTTCAGTTGAATATCAGGAAAAACCTCCTAACCGTTAGACAGTGGAACCAGTTACCTCGGGAGTTGGTGAGTGCTCCAACACTGGAGGCATTCAAGAAAAACTTAGACAATCACCTGGCAGCTATGCTTTGATTGTATTCCTGCATTGAGCAAGGGGTTGGACTTGATGGCCTTGTAGGCCCCTTCCAACTTCACTTTTCTATGATTCTACCATGTTTCCCTAAAAATATGACAGGGTCTTATATTAGTTTTTGCTCCAAAAATGCATTAGGGCTTATTTTCAGGGAATGTTTTTTTTTTCATGTACAATAATCTACATTTATTCAAAGACAGTCATGTCATCTTCTTCTGGTTGCTGCACAATGGCGGAGGATGGGGTTTACTTCACTGGGGCTTATTTTTGGGGGTAGGGCTTATATTATGAGCATCCTGAAAATTCATACTAGGGCTTATTTTCAGGTTAGGTCTTATTTTCAGGGAAACAGGGTATGAAAATGCTTGCTCCATGCACCAGCAATGGCAACCATATATTCCTCTTTTACTTTTTACCCACAAGCTATCAGCATGAGTGTAGGAAACAATTGCCATGCTTTAATTTGGCTTCATTTGGAGTCACATGGGTAGATCTGCTTAAGAGCAGAAAGAACAACTAGTAATCTACATGAAAAATACGTGAAATCTGTGTTCTCCTATCAAACTTTTTACCAGGAAAGGATTGCTTGTACATTTCTAGTTGAGCTGTTAGGCCAGGTGTAAGTAATGCGTGGTTTGTGGATCAGATCTGGTCCCCAGCATTTCCAAACATCCCCCATGTCACCATAAGCCTCCAAATTGTTGTTAATATTAACACTTGTACACACACACAAGTGCGTGCACACATGCACACACATGACCCTTGCACTTTCTCATAAGTAATTTCAAGATATTATCTCTGAAATCTTTTAAATGAAGATCGGGCTTTTCTCAAAGCAAGATTTAACTTTTGTTTAATGCTGTTTTTTTAAAAGGGCATTTACAGGCCTAGAACAAGCTGATGGGGCATGGGGAGATGCTCTTTTGCCTCCACATCCCTGGAGGCTATGAGGAGCACTTTTTGTTGTTGTTGTTAAAAATATTAGAGGATATCATGGGGAAGGAAGTGTGGGTCTGAAGGGCAGGGTGTGTGGGCCCTGGGCTTTTGGAACTTGCTGACATTGTCATAGAGGTCAGTCATAATGGCTGCATCAGGGGCTACTGCCTATATTACTTCAGCGACTCCAACTAAATAGGATAGGAGAAGTTGTTAATCTCTTGCTGGGAATTCAGCATCCAAGCAGTGTTAATCTATGTTACTCTTATGAGAATTCTTCCCTGCTTTTCCTATCCCCAGTGATTAAAATATTTTTTCCAGATAGTGAATCTTCTAGCTGAAAGGTCTAAATCCTTCTTCCCTGCCCCATTAATTATTATTAATCCTTAATTATTATTTATTGGGCAAAATCCTGTTGACATAGTTACACCAGGCTAAACCAGACCCAGGCACCAAAAATATATTGAAGGATTCCTATCTCTGCATTTCAGATTCTGAGGCTCTCCATGGCTCCCTTTAGCCATGAAATCTTTGGAAGCCTCAGGATGCAGGAGGGGGAAGCTTCTGCTGGCAGTCCTGATCCTAGGAGCACCAATTCAGCTGTGATGATTGGCTGTTACAGGCTCCTCATCCCCATCCAGAGGCTTTCTCAGGTGAAAGGAAGCCCTAGCAAGCCTTGGAACCTGAAATGGGGAGCTGGAAACATTTCAGTCAATTTCAGTTGTTTCCAGTGCCTGGGTCTGGTTTATTCCACTATTAACTACATCAACAGGATTTTGCTCGTTTGTTTGATAAATGCATTTATAATCTTTATTCCCTCCTATGAGCTCACTGCTGTCTTCCCACTTACCAAATCATCAGGTTTTAGAGTATCCAGGTCCTCAGGCTCTTCCTTGCTGGAGAACCCATCTGCGGAGGTCCTTACAAGTGTTTGGGATAGTCTGTGTGTCCTTCTGGAGGGCAGAAAATTGGACCCCAGACCCGCCAAACGTACCAACCTCTGAATTAATTGGACTGTTGAAGTCTTCCCATTTTTATTATTTCTAATCACAGGAAGGACTTCAAAAGGCTGCAGGTAGAAGGGAGTTATACCAGGGTTTGCTCAAGAGTCAGACCACAATTTTCAGTGGGCAGGTGAGTATGCCACCTTGCCCTGGCAGTAGTAGTCAGAAATCTGAGGTTGGGAAGGATTTGCTAGGCAAGCGAAGGCAGGCTTTGATAAGCATAAGCATGGTAGCCACTAGGTCTCTGCCATGAAAAAGCCTCATGGAATAAGGAAAAAGCCTGTCTAATACTAGCACACTGATTCACAAGCATTGGCTGCCTTGGTGGAAGAAATGCACTAAAGTAGGAAACCCCTCTCTGGAGTGCTTAAACTCTCAAAAGGGACCCTGGGCCAACAAAAGAGGAAATACATAACATCTCAGACAATAGGTCGGGAGGGCAGTAGAGACAAGATATCCTCATACACCCTTTTGTAGTAAGCCTACTGCCCAGTGGGAATGGGTAGGGATGGGTGACCAGGTTTTTTTTTTAAAAAAAAAAATCAACCTTTTTTCTCCCTCTGGTATTTTTTGAAACCAGATTTGTCTCCCTGTGTGGAGATCAGGCAAGTCTACAGATGGCACACAGGAAGTTTAAAATTTGGAAGTTTATCTTGTTCCAGGCTTCTGAAGACAGGTAACCTGATACTTTACTAGGGACATGCAACATTTCCAGTTAAATGCACACAGATAGGATGTGTCTGCCCCATCTGGTCCTTATCCAGATCCATGGTGTTGCTTGCTTTTTCCCCCAGCTCTGCATGAAAAATGTAGTTCTCCTAAATGTACTACCCATACACTGTAGACATTATTGGATTAATGCCTGACCTCCTATAAGACCACTTCTTGTGTTCCTATTGTTTGCCACTGCATTAAGTGGCTCTTTGCAAGGTTCATATAGTGTTATGCTAATGTGATGTAACACAAGATGGGCCATTAAAATAGTGAATTATATCTTGGCAATAGAAGTCTCTTGATCATTCAAGACCTGACCATAATGTTTTCCCCCTCGTTGTATTTATGATAGACATCTAACCATCACAACTTTATTACATGGGCCTCAGTAGTGAAAAGATTCTTTATCCTGATTCATTTAATAGTTCACAGTTCCTCGTTTTAATTTTCATTCTGCTTGTTTCTTAAAATTATATTTCCTCTCTATCAGAGAGATGTCGCTGTTTCAAGACAGGTTTATCAAATTAAATCTAAATGGGTGGTTATTTACATTCATCAGTTAGCAAAATGCTTAAATAATTACATTCTGCAAGTAATTCCCATCCATTTCCTTTAGTGTACTTAAATGAAGGCAAGGAATAATCAAGTTAAGATGAGAAACAAGTGGTTTAGCTAAGAGAGAGCTTCCATCTGTTTTACACTGACAGCACATTCTTGAGACAGGGGCGTAATATACAGTCTCTGAGACAAATGGTGTATATCTAACACAAGTCAAAAGATCATCCCCAGCAGAGGATGCTCAAATGTGGGCTTCCAGCAGGAGATTCTCTAGGACTTCCCTTCCTGCAGTACCAGCGGTCTCCTTCCACAGCAAACCAGCCTGGGCTCTGTGCTTTGAGGAGGGATACTCAGGGATTATCTTCAATCCACACTTCACAAGATTCACAAGTCCTGAAATAATGTCGTTCTCCCAACTGCACCTTCAGTGATGCAACTTTTGACTTAAAAGTTGGAAACAGGATTCCTCTGCTCCTTCCTTCTCGTAGCGAGCTCCTCCAGTTCCCACCATGCTACTTGGAAGGTGAGGGGCCCTGGTCAGTGAGAAAAGATGCACTATATGGAAAAAGGGGAAACTTCTTAGAATTGAGTGGAGACATCTTCAATGAATGGACTTCAGCTCGTGGAAGAGGCCTGTCCCCATTTGGAGGGATCCTTCTTCCCACTATCTGCACCCCATACAGCAGATTCCACCCATAACCCAGTAATTGTGGTCACCAAAACAGAGTGCAAACCCAAATGCTGGGATAACAGGTGGAGTTAGCACTGGGGCATCTTATTTCACTTTTTTTCCTCACAGGAATTCTCCAGTTATGACCTGCCTATGTGCAAACAAGATTCAATTTCAGAGTGCAGATTTGAAGTTGTTAGCTGATTTTTACAAAAGCCTTTAAAACAAATTCATAAAATGAATTACCCATTAATTTGGGGATGTATCATTGGTGTAAGGAAGGAGATATACAATGATTACAGAATTTGGGCACCCAGAATGTGATAGCTGGTGTCTGATCAAACCCTCTCCTCATATTTACTTTCTAAGACATGGGCCTCTAGGAAAACCAATTACTGATCTAAACTGCTATCTATCATCTTTTCTCATAACTAGACTTTAGACTGAATGGATGGATAGACAGATAAGTAGATAAATAGGTATGTGTGTCGATAGATGTTTATGTCTAACTTATTGCCATTTATGGCAAAAATATTATGCAATTCATTTAACACCTCCTTGTTTATGAAATTAACAAATACCAAAGTACAAACAGGTTTAAAATACAAATTCTTGGTTTTATTTTGGTTTTAGGCAAAGTTTGACAAACTGTTATATTCATTCTGTGCAGCACTTCTTCTG